CAGTCTCCCTACAGTCCATGCCATCCATCTGCCTGCAGGCCAGTCAGCCATTTCCTCTCAGAGCAGGAGCCTCTGCACAGGTTTCCCTGGGCCTTAAGAAGTTCCTGCTTTGGTTCCAGGATGGGTCATGGGAAATGGGGCTGTGCATTCAGACACAGGGAGCAGGACAAGAGCCCCGTTTGCAGGCAAGCATTGTTCAGGCTGTGTGTGCTGAAGTGGTACAATGTCCATTACATATTTGGAAAATTCTAGGTTAAAATGCCCTGGAAGCTGGAACAGCCTCCTTTTTAGGTGCTGTTAGAGAGCTGTGAGTGTTTGGTTCCTTTTCACTATACGTCTGAGGAGTGAGTTTGTGACAAAAGGCCCTGAGCAGCTCAGGAGGATGAGAGGCCCTGGTGCTGACCATGTCTCATTAGTGTTGGTCCTGAATGCGAGCTGCAGCTGCAAATTCCTTCTCTCCTGGGTGAGCCATCAGGTAATTCCATGTTTTCAGCTTTGGGTTTTAACCAGAGCAGCAATGCACAGCCAGCTTAGAGAGGAAAAGTTCACAGGAGCTAATTTTAGGCACCTGATGTAGATGTTGTGGATCTCTTTGCATTCTCCATTACCTCAGCTGAGAGCCCGGGCGTTGATACTGGTATCAGAAATACTCAGGATGAATCCTGGGGGGATTAAGTTAGTTTGCAGGTATAAGCTTGCTGTTGTCTCCAAATCCTAACAGAAGCTGGTCTCTGCCACCCCAGCTCCCTTCACTGCAGCAGAGCTTGCCCAGGAGGCTGTGGAGGCTGTGAACTTCCCAGAACTCTGGCAGGAGTTGTTTGTAGGAAGGTTCGCACTCAGCAGAGATGGTGAAAGGCTGGGGGCACTCAAACTGAGCTTTGACACATCTGTCAGGGCTTACAGGGCTGTCCTGAGGCAGGCAGTGGGCTCCACCACATCTCTGCAGAGCTGGATTTGTGCCCTCTGATGTGTTGGGATGATGTTTCCTACCCATGGAAGTGATCAGTGCTCTTAAATTTGGGGCTACTACAGAATCACAGTGCAGTTGCCAGCAATCCTTTTAATACACCAGCTGTGAAAACAGCTTGGAGTTTCTCCTCTGAATGCAGTGTAACCAGGTTGGAACTCATTTCCAGAAGTGAGGCTAAACATGAATTCTTCTTGTCTGGCAAGAAATATTGCCAGCCTTGTATGTTACTGTGAAGTCCCAGGGATTGCTGCCCTCCCTGGGTACAGGAGGGGGATTTACATGAATGCAGAGCCAGTCCCAGCCCCACAGGGACAGCTGGACAAACCTCTGTTTCTAGAAAAGCAGTACCTGAGAGAGAGCCTTGGGGTGCTGTCCATGAGCAGATATCACACTGGTTTGGCTTTGCTCACCCTTCCCCACATTCCATTGGGATTTACTCTGCTGGCATGGAGAAGAGGCTTAAAGTAAGGCAGGGGGGATAAGACTGGTGCTTGTATACCTGAGAAGCAGTTATGACATCTAACAAAAAAGCCTAGAAATCCCAGAGTTAATGCAATGATGAAGAGCCTGCAGAGGTTTGCTTTGTTCTTTCCTAAAAGTTTTAAGCTGACTTGGAAGTGAAGAGCAAATGTAGGTGGGTGAAGTGTTGAGCAGAACAGGGATGGTTTGGAACTCATTCTGTGCTTTACTTGGAGTCTTGGAATGTTTTTTTTTAATTTCACCTGCTTTGAGATGGTAGAGTGCTGATGATAGTGGGTGGAATGATTTGGGGGATTGATCTGCTTCAATTAAACATGCCTGTAGGGAAAACTTCATAATTCATACTTTTATGGATAAAACAAGTACAAGGCTATTAAAGCAGGTATTTGCTCATATTCCAAATTTCGTAACTTAGAAAATATTTGAAGGAAGCTTCTCTATTTTTGTCCTGCTGTGCCCCCCTCGTTCCCTGTTCCCTAGAGCATGTTGGTGACAGACTATTTCAGTGCATCTTCTTTCCCCTCCTCTCCCTGCATTTCGTTTCTCCTCTGAATGCAGTGTAACCAGGTTGGAACTCATTTCCAGAAGTGAGGCTAAACATGAATTCTTGTTGTCTGGCAAGAAATATTGCCAGCCTTGTATGTTACTGTGAAGTCCCAGGGATTGCTGCCCTCCCTGGGTACAGGAGGGGGATTTACATGAATGCAGAGCCAGTCCCAGCCCCACAGGGACAGCTGGACAAACCTCTGTTTCTAGAAAAGCAGTACCTGAGAGAGAGCCTTGGGGTGCTGTCCATGAGCAGATATCACACTGGTTTGGCTTTGCTCACCCTTCCCCACATTCCATTGGGATTTACTCTGCTGGCATGGAGAAGAGGCTTAAAGTAAGGCAGGGGGGATAAGACTGGTGCTTGTATACCTGAGAAGCAGTTATGACATCTAACAAAAAAGCCTAGAAATCCCAGAGTTAATGCAATGATGAAGAGCCTGCAGAGGTTTGCTTTGTTCTTTCCTAAAAGTTTTAAGCTGACTTGGAAGTGAAGAGCAAATGTAGGTGGGTGAAGTGTTGAGCAGAACAACAGGTTTGGAACTCATTCTGTGCTTTACTTGGAGTCTTGGAATGTTTTTTTTTAATTTCACCTGCTTTGAGATGGTAGAGTGCTGAGGATAGTGGGTGGAATGATTTGGGGGATTGATCTGCTTCAATTAAACATGCCTGTAGGGAAAACTTCATAATTCATACTTTTATGGATAAAACAAGTACAAGGCTATTAAAGCAGGTATTTGCTCATATTCCAAATTTCGTAACTTAGAAAATATTTGAAGGAAGCTTCTCTATTTTTGTCCTGCTGTGCCCCCCTCGTTCCCTGTTCCCTAGAGCATGTTGGTGACAGACTATTTCAGTGCATCTTCTTTCCCCTCCTCTCCCTGCATTTCTCATTTGAAGCCATGGAATTTGGATAGTGTCTGTGTTTTGGTGCGTTTCCACCCAAGATCCTGTTTGTCTGGGTAGCACTGCTGGGGAATAATGGCTGTGTCAGCGGCTGGTTTGGGCATTTTTGGGAAACAAAAATGATGCACAACTTATTTTGAGCAAATAATTGTGTGAATACTCCAGTAGAAAGTGGCAGAAGCTAATAACAACTTGTTCCTTTTCTAAAACAAAATGGAAAAGTAGCTTTTGTGACTTTGAAAGAATTGTATGTGCTAAGGAGGCATTTATTCCTGCTGCTATTCCTGAGTCTCCAAGGGTGAAAGGGATCTTTGCTAGAAGGGCTTGCAGGTGGGGGTGGTAGTGGAATATTAGTTTTACTACTAATAAACTTTCATAACTCAAGGGCTTCTTCCTATCTGAGTACTGAAAATGTCATAAAATTCTCAGTGAAGTCACTTCACTGATTGCTTACCTTCTCAGTTTGTTTCTTTTTCCTTGGTTTACTGCTTCTCCAGAGTGTCTTCTAAAATCCCTGTGTATAATTAATAATAACTGATAATTGACTAGTAATTCCCTTTAAAAAAAGGTGACTGTAAAATTGGATCTGTCCGAAAGCTGGTTAGTAATGTGATATTGAAGGCTGGCATAAATCTGTAGAAAGATTATATTTACTCACTTATTTAGTTGTTCTAAACAATATTTTTTTTTAATCCAAGAAGGTAAATCATTATCTCTCCATACTAGGAAACAACTTTTAAGGGCATCATTGATGAAAGATGAAAAATGAATTTATATTGAGAAAACTGGTTAGTGTTTCTAATCACCTTCCTCATGAGAGTGGGGCATTATTGAAAGGAATTTCAAAGATAGCACATCAAGATCAATACAGGAAAGGAGTTTCCAGGGAGTCTCCAATTGCACACTCTGGAACTAATTGATATGATACACTTCAAACCTCAGAATTTTGCTATCTGCATCATAAATGCAATATTTGATGTGAGCAGGCCCAGCAGGAGCAGTGTTTGCTGAGTGCTTTGTTTGTTACCATCTGCCCCAGCCCCGGGACAGACATTTCCAGCTCCTTATCTCACCTCCCGTGGCTGGGGTTGTTCAGTGGCAATTATTTCTTTATTGCCACCTCCCAGAGGGACTGGGGCTGCTCTGGGGGATAAGCACTGGCCTCTCTCCAGGCCCCAGGGCACTGCAGGTCCTGAGGGCTTTTCCTTTGCTCTCCTGCTTCCATGTGTCTTCCTCGCTGATGATTCTGCAGGGAGCTGGTTCAGGAAGCTCAACTGAAGAATTTTGTTTCTATTTTGTCCCTTTGGCTGAGCAGAGCTGCCTGTTCCAGGCTCCTGAAGTTACTAACTCCCTGAGTGCTTGGCTTGGGAAAGGCAGGTGTGCCTTAGCCTCACCTGGATCAGGGCACGCTGCAGGTGGGAGCAGCACACCCGGCAGGATGCACACACTGGGGGAGGCTCAGGGATGTCCCCATGGACACTGCAGTGTTACTGCTCACACCTTGGGAAGCCCAGGGCAGGGATGTCCCCATGGACACTGCAGTGTTCCAGTCACACCTTGGGAAGCTCAGGGCAGGGATATCCCCATGGACACTGCAGTGTTACTGCTCACACCTTGGGAAGCTCAGGGCAGGGATGTCCCCATGGACACTGCAGTGTTACTGCCCACACCTTGGGAAGCTCAGGGCAGGGATGTCCCCATGGACACTGCAGTGTTCCAGCTCACACCTTGGGAAGCTCAGGGCAGGGATGTCCCCATGGACACTGCAGTGTTACTGCTCACACCTTGGGAAGCTCAGGGCAGGGATGTCCCCATGGACACTGCAGTGTTACTGCTCATGGGCAGCACACACACCTTGAGTTCCTAAGCCAGCGTGTCTCTGGTGACTAAAAGCCTGCACTGAGAAATGAGTAAGTGTTTTAGCTTGTCAGTAAAAGTGTGTCAAACTTTGAAACATGGCTGCATTTGAGGATGTAAATGAAGAATTTTGTCAAATTGCATTAATACAAGTTGTAATGCTTTTTTTGTGCTCAAGTCTTGGAACTCCTTGATTTGCTTTCCACATTACAGTGCTGGTTTATTTCTGTTCTCTTTACAGCTGATATAATTTCAACAGTTGAATTTAATTACACTGGTGATCTTCTTGCAACAGGAGACAAAGGTGGCAGAGTGGTTATATTTCAAAGGGAACAAGAGGTCAGTGACTCAAAAAACAAAAGTGTTGTTACTACACTGTTCTTGTGTTGCACAGTCTCACTTCATCTGTTCATGCCCTGAGGTTTAAATGGAGAGTTTTCTCAGAAAACCCCAAGTTAGACAAGTTCTAAGTATCTACCCTGTGCTGTACTTGGTAAGTTGGTCTCGTGAGGGTTCCCCTCCCTCCTTCCAAAAAAAAAATCCAATATCCAGGTGAACTCTTTATATGTACCTGGTGTCCTCAGTATCGCTTTGCAGAATTTGGACTTTCTCCTGAATTTTTCCAGTGGGTCAGGCTGATCTGAATAAATCACAATGCTTTGGGAGAGAATGTAAAAGAAGTTCAGGAAATAAGCTGCAAGGGCTACAGGATAAGGTCATTAAAAATTGTTTGAGGATTTAGAACTAGTGGGAACAGCCACTTCTCCAGAAACACTTGAGCGTTTCCCATCAGGAGGGTGGGAGCACTGCCCCTCCTGCACTTTCACAGCTCCTCTTCATGAGTTCAGCTGTGTGACAGTGCTGTAATGCTCCTGTGTGTTCATCCTGAGCTGGGATATCCCAAGCAGCAGTGGGGATGGGAGATGTCCACCAAGTGCTGAAAAATAATTGTCATGTCTGGGAGGAATCTGGAATTGTGTTCTTTAAAAAGTCAGTATTCCACATGGCAGTTCTCAACAAAGTGTCTGCATATTCTGTCCTTTGAGGACATGAGGGGAATTTGAGGGTTTGAGCATTCTCCTGGGTCAGAGTACCAGAATTGATCATGAAATTTTAGTTCAGCTTGTCTGTACATGAATATTACAGATCTTCAGGTGCTGTGGATTTCTCCAGCAGACCCCCTCTGCTCTCTTTGTGGGGCTCAGATGATGCTCTGTTAATGAACATACCTGGCCAGTATTTTGCATTTCTGCTCACTGTGCTGCTGGTCCCAGCCCTGCCCCACAGGTGCCTCTCTGGCTGTACTGGGAGGCTCGGGAGCACTGAGGTGCCAGCAGTGCTGAAACGTTACCTGGCTGCGCCCGCGCGGCTCCGGGCTCATTCATCATTTACTCGGGTGGCCAGAGGCTTAGCTAAGGCCCAGAGATAAGGTCAGAAGTGCCTCAGGCACATCCTGCACTTCTCGGGATCTTGGACTTGCCTGATGTGGAGGGGGCTATTATGGGTTGGCTCTCAGTTGTTCCATAAGGCAAGACCTGCCTGTCACAGCACTTCCTCAGAGAAGGAAAAACAAACCCCAGGCCAGACTGTTCACACAGGAGTATTCATCTGTCTCCTTGGGAACACATGGAAACTGAGGGAAGAGTTGGGAATGAGGGACATTTCTTTTGTCATGTGCAAAATTGCAGGAAAGAATCTAAAGTAAGTGTATAATGCTGGAACCTTAAAATAATAACCATATTTTTTACCCAGTTTGGATTTTAGATTCAGTTAATTAGGTCAGTGACAGCTTAGGGTGGTTATACAGTTCCCCAGACACTTGGGATTTGGGAAGGCACCCTGAAATGCTCTGCATCATGCCCTGGGCTCATAGGACTTGACTTCACTTGCAAGCAGCAGTTACTGCAGCCAAATGTGTGACGGAAAGCACCAGTGCCAAGGCAGCTCACTCTGTGTGCAGGAACTTCTGGATGGGGTCAGGTGAGAGGAACCTGCCCAAAATTCTTACACGTCAATGACGTGTAGGGAGTAAAATCATGTCAAGTCTGAGAGTTCAGTGAGGGCGTGGAAACTCCACAGCTGTGAGACACTGCAGGCAAACTGCACCCCTGGGGCTGTTCTGCAGCACAAACCACTGACACCAGCTTACTCAGAAAGCCTGATAACAAGTTGCCTCAAATCTGATAATGCAAATCTGGGGAACCTTGGGACTTCACTCTCTGTTCCTTGCTCCCACACCCATCACATGAGAATAGCAAAGCCTGAAGGGTGCACAGATATTTATACATAAACTTCCATTTCTAAAGAGGAAGGGCTGTGTGCACTGTATTGATGCTAAACTGGGTACAGTATCACAGACTGAAGATTCAAAATTCAAGAGCTGTTGTAAAAGCTGATGTTCTGATTGACAATTTCTAGTGGTTGTTTTGCGTGGGCCGTTTCTGAGGGACCCAGTGCCACCAGCCTCAAGAAATGCTCTTTTTCTTGCAGACTAAAAGCCGTCCTCTCGCTCGGGGAGAATACAATGTTTACAGTACCTTCCAGAGTCATGAGCCTGAGTTTGACTACTTGAAAAGTCTAGAAATTGAGGAAAAAATTAATAAAATTAGGTGGTTACCACAACAGAATGCTGCTCACTTCCTGCTGTCTACAAATGGTAAGGGCCCTTTTTTTTTGCATGAAGAGCTTTGTCATTGGAATATTGTCTCACTTGCCACACACTTGGGGGGTTTTTTCTGACATATTTTGGGGTTGTTTTAATGTTTTCTCTAATTACATGCAAAATATGTTTTGATTGTAATGTTGGCTGTGTGAATATTGGGTCTGTTTTGTTTTGGTGCATCATGGAGCTTCTGTAAATGAAATTGTACAACTGGGTACATGGGTTAGTGGGAACAGTTAGAATTATGTCTTAAAGATATTTTCCTGCCTAAACGATACTGTGGAAAAAACTTGCTCTTATTATCAGAGGAATACATTATTCCTAATAGTTTGGATCACTTTATGAGGTCATGGTGACATTCTAAAAGCAGGAGTGACTTCTGTCTGCTGGTCTGTGCAGTTAAGTCTTAATAGATAGAAGTCTTAATAAAGCATTCTTTAAACTGTGTCATCTGAAATGCTCTGCAGGAGTTTGGGGAGGAGAGGCTTGGCTCCAGTTAGCCAAGGATCTCACCATTGGGTGAGCCAGGTGTGCACTCACTGCCTGCCCTTGGAACACTTCTTTGGTGACACCTGGCAAGTGCATTCCTTTGGAGCCCCAAAGAGTGGGGCAAATCCTGATCTCTGCCTTTGGCTGGCTCTGAGCAGGTGCCTGGGACAAACCTGGTTTCCTTTAGGACAGTTAATACAAGGAGTTCATGTGTTTGTTGGGTTTGGTCCCTAGCAGTGGTCTCCTAATGTAATTCAGCTAATCATCCAGGGCTTAGTGGGCAATTTGAGTAATTGGTGTGTGAAACTCTCCCCAGGCAGTGACACTTGGGTGAGTGGGAGGCACAGGGCCTTACTGCTCAGGCACAAATTTGGATCTTATTCAAACTGCACCTCATGTTGTGGGTAAAGAACTCTGTCAGGGTCCTTTGCTGCGTGCAGGGGAACACAGACAGGTCACTCGTGTCTGCTCTGCCGAGTCCATATTTAGTGATTTGATTTTGTATTCAATCCATTCTCAAGCATGTGAATTTTTTGGTTGTAGATAAAACTATTAAACTATGGAAAATAAGTGAAAGGGATAAACGAGCCGAAGGTTATAATTTAAAAGATGAAGATGGAAGACTTAGGGAGCCTTTCCGAGTCACAGAACTACGGGTATGTCTCTGCTCTTTGAGTTTATGTATTTCTCTGCATGCTCTTCTCTGTCTCTGTGCTACCAAACTGAAATGTGCAAATCAAAAATGGTGTTGGTGTCAGGCTCGTTGAAAACCTTCAGAAAAAAATGGAGACACTTCATGTTCTTAGATATAATAACTGTTTTTAAAAAGTTCCTCTGGAAGGCTTGAGGAAAACTGTCATCATTATAACACTATATTTCTAAGAGGATGACTCAAAAATTGGAATAGGGGATTCTGTGGCTGGATAAAAGTGTGTTTGTTAGAGCAAGTTCCAAGCATTTGAGTAACCTAATGTTACTGGAATAGTCTTGGACATGATGCTGTAGTGGTAGGGTTAGTGCTCCAAACTTGGGATCATTTGGAGCAGCACCCAAGAAATGAAAGGTGGGATTAGGTTTTTCCTGGGGTTTCGTGTTGTTCCACCATCAGCAGGAGCAGAACTGAGGCTCTCACTGCTCTCAAGGCCACCCCTCCAGGTAGGAACTTCAGCTGGAGGCATTTCTTGGGGGTTTGTCTTGCTTTTGCCCAAGCTGAACATTGAACAGAAGCTTTGGGTGTACAAAATGTGTTGGTAAAGGATATCCACTGCCTCAGTGTGTGCAAGCCAGGGTTGGATTAAGAGTTCCAATGACAGCAGCTAAATCCAGGGACATCCCTTAGGATACAGTGGTAGAAGGAGGTCCCGGTGGAGTTTTGGGTTCTGCAGCCTTGCCCTGCTGGAGCAGGCACCAGCTGGGGCACTGGAGGGGCACTTTGGGCTCCGTAAGGCACTGTCCTGCACGGGGGGAGCAGCAGCAGCAGGAACCTCTCCAGCCAGTCCCCTGCACTTGCTGCTGCTCTGGGCTGCAGCCCTTGCAGGCACTGCAGCCTGGGAGAGGGGCTGATGGATGAGCCAGATCTGAACACAAGCTGGCTGGAGGAAAAGCCTCACCTGGAGGTACCTTCATGTGTTAAAATGCTCAGGGTTTGGAGAGCCAGAGTGTGCCAGGAGCTTTGGCAGGTTTTGTTACAGGACCACAGTGCCCATGTTCATGGGGACGTGGCCATGGAGGAGAAGCAGCACTTTACACAGAGACCATGGCACTTCCAAGTCCCCTTCCTGATCTTTGCCATTAGTGCACCTGTACTGTCACAGCCAGGCTGGGAGCACTCTGCTGAGATAGGACAGTGGCCTGATAAAAAGTAATGGATTAATTGTAGTTGTTAATTGGATGTAAACAGGCTGGGAGATCCAAACCGGGAAGGCAGGTAGGGAGCTCTGGGCTGGATCAGTCCTTGTTCCATGGAGACAGGTCACCTTAGGCACCCCTGAGCTCGGCTGGCTGTGGGAGCAGGACACCGGTTGTGCCTGAATTCCTGCTGACTGTTCGTGAGCAAATTGGGAATTTTCATGGAGTCTGTTCTTCCAGTTTCCTGAGCACCCTGAGTGTGAGGTCTGGGGACATTTCTAAGGGTTTGTTTACAAACACAGCCCATGTGCTGTTGGGTAAGGCACCAAGGGCTGGCTTTGACTGGGAGGTTTTCTGTTGGCAGTGTCCAAAGTCAGCATCCATGTGCTCTCAATATTTTTTGTGCTCAGTGGATTTCAGAAGTGTTTAGTCACCGAATCAATACAGAAATCTGTGCAGTGCAATTAATTAATTGCCATCAAACAAGCTGTGGGGTTCAGGGCTCAGTGTTGGCGCCAGTTCTGTTTAAGGTCTTTATTGATGATCTGGCTGAGGAAATCGAGAGCAGCCTCTGAGTTGACAGAGGATGGAAGGTGAGTGGGATGTGCATCTGCTGGAGGGCAGGAAGCTCTGCAGGGGAAACTGGACAGGCTGGATTTGTGGCCAGGGCAGAGGGGTAGAGTCCCCATCCCTGGAGGGGTTTCATAGCTGTGTGTGGCACTTGGGGACAGGGGATAGTGGTGACCTCAGCAGTGCTGGGGGAATGGACTCAATCTAGAGGGTCCTTCCTAAGGGTGTGACCCTGTGCTGGGTGATGTGTGGGGGTCAGCAGTGACCCTGTGCTGGGTGATGTGTGGGGGTGAGCAGTGACCCTGTGCTGGGTGATGTGTGGGGGTCAGCAGTCACCCTGTGCTGGGTGATGTGTGGGAGTCAGCAGTCACCCTGTGCTGGGTGATGTGTGGGGGTGAGCAGTGACTGTGCCACGGTGATGTGTGGGGGTCAGCAGTAACCCTGTGCTGGGTGATGTGTGGGGGTCAGCAGTGATCCTGTGCTGGGTGATGTGTGGGGGTCAGCAGTCACCCTGTGCTGGGTGACATGTGGGGGTCAGCAGTGACTCTGGGGGTCAGCAGTGACGCTGTGCCCAGCCCGTGTGCTCTGTGCCCACTCAGGTGCCAACACTGAAGCCCATGGACCTGATGGTGGAGGCCAGCCCACGCAGGACCTTCGCCAATGCGCACACCTACCACATCAACTCCATCTCTGTCAACAGCGACTACGCCACGTACCTGTCTGCCGACGACCTCCGCATCAACCTCTGGCACCTGGAGGTCACCAACAGGAGCTTTAGTATCCTTCGGTGCCCTCTGCGCAGCGGGTGCAGCTCAGCTGGGCCTGTGTTTAAGAGAATCACTTCAGTGTTACTAATTAGAGTGGGTGTTTGAAGCCAGGGCTTAAAAGAGCATTCTGAAGTCTGGAGGTGTAATGCAGTGAAAGCAGGCTTTGGGATGCTCAGTCAGTGCTGAGGGCAAGCGTGCCTGCAGTGGAAAACTGGCAGTAGAAACATTAGAGAGGGTTTGGTTTCTGAGGAGGAATTGTGGGAGCATCCCTAAATTGTGGAGTTCAGTCAGCTTAAATAACAGTTGTTGGATATGAGCAGTAGATCCTTTGTTACTGTGGATGCTTCTTTCAAAGTTTGTGGTCTCTTAACCAAGTGACACTTCTCTTGAAACCAAGTCTCAATATTTTTTCATATCAAATGATGCCATTAACTGCAGAGGTAATTTTCAGATCTTTCTGCAAACCTGTGCAACTAAAACTAACAGAGTGTTTTACATTGACAAATCTGCAGTAAAATAAAAGTTGCAGGAGTACTGATGCCTAAATAGGTCAATTTCTAAAGTTTTAGGTTAGGTTTTCCAAAGCTTTAGGTAAAGAGATGAGGTTTATTTGGTGTGCAATAGGAAGCATTGAGAAGGAGGCTTAGGAGACTTGCTGGACTTTGATTCTTGTGAGATATTCTTTCACTCCAGGAGTCTGAAATTGCCCAGCATCTGGGGTTTGAGATGGAGAAAGCTGGAGAGGCACTTTTTAAAAGAGCATGTGATGACAGGACAAAGGGGAATGGCTTCCCAGAGCCAGAGGGCAGGGTTAGATGGGATACTGGGAAGGAATTGTTCCCTGGCAGGGTGGACAGCCGTGGCACAGGGTGCCCAGAGCAGCTGTGGCTGCCCCTGGATCCCTGACAGTGCCCAAGGCCAGGCTGGACACTGGGGCTGGAGCAGTCTGGTCCCTTCCACCCCAGACCATTCTGGGATTCTGTGACTTGTCAAATCCGGAGTTCTCCAGGCTGTCCCCACTCCTGTACCATACACACGGTGGGAAGGAAGCTCTTGCCCTAGTTTCCTAGGTGGCATTTTTAAGCTCTGTCACTGATTAGCTACTGGAGGGGCTCAGGTGTGAAGCGTTGCAGGCCTTGACCAGCTGTGGCAGACATCGTGGACATCCTGCCTTCCTGCCCACCTTCCCTCCTTCCTTCCTGCCCGCCCACCCTCCTTCCTGCCTGCTCTCCTTCCTGCCCACCTTCCTTCCCTCTGTCCATCCTGCCCTCTGGCCGTGCTGCTCCGTGGGGGACCCGCCCTCCCTGGGCAGCGCCCGGGCAGCAGTGCTGGGGAGGGCTGGGCAGGTCTCAGCTGCCTTGTTCTGGGCCACCACTGAGCACAGGTGTAGCGTGAGGCACCACCTGGCTGCTCTTTGCCCATTTGTGCCTCATGAACTGACGGGAGCGAGTGCTTTGGGCACAGTGAGACCTGTCTGCTGGCCACACTCAGGCTGGCTGCCTCTCAAGGTATCTGCTCACCCTGTGCCAGTTCAGGGCAGCTCTTACACCTCTGTGCATTGCAAACTGGGCTGCTGCTGCCCTGTCCCCTGTGACCAGTGCAGCTGCTAGGATAGGATGAGTCCTTAGGAATACACCCTGGAAGTTTCCAGGGATGCAGGGTGGCTGCTCCCTCAGCTGCTGAGCCACCAAAGCGTTAGCAGGTCAGGAAAGAAAGCTTTGCTGTGCAAGCCATGAGGATCCTGCCTGGGCCTTGCACACAGCCACGTGTTCCTGTCCCTGCTGGCACAGCTGAGCTCTAGCAGTGTGCCCAGCCCTGGGGGTGCCTGCCACACGGACACTTCCAGGCCAGCTTCCTGCAGTGCAGAGAGGCCTTCCTTGGGGCTAGAGGGAAATACTTGTGCAATGGGAAGTGACTAACGCGGGGCCATCCCACTGATCTGGTTCAGTGTTGCATTAAATCACTGAAAAGCACTTAATTTTTAACTGCTTGTGACTGAATCACATCCTGCTACAAGGGGTCTTCCAAAAACGAGGGAGATCTGAGTAGCCTGGGTCAGGGATCTCTGATTTCAGAGGTTGACTTGTGCATTTAAACAGCACATGTGTTGATCTGCTCTCTAAAATCACACAAACTGTGTTGCAAATGTAGCTGCTCACATTTCAGGGTTTGTTTTAGTACAGCTGTGGTTCAGAGCTAAAGGAAAGCACATGGTTCAGTGGCCTCCTGGTGTTCGGGTCGCTGCTGTGCCCACCTGCTGCTGTTGTGGCTGATGTGTGGATCAGGTGTGATGGTTACAGTACCCACTGCTCTTTGCTGCTCTGGTTGATCCCCAAGACCTGTGAGTTGTGGTTTGCTGGTGCTGTGCTCCAGTTGAATGTTGGAGATGGACATCTGGCAGTCTGGTGATCTAGAGCACCACAGTGCTAAAAAAGAGATTATTTCTGATTATTTCTGAGAAGTATCTAACAGCTAATTTCTTCAAAAATAAACTGGTCACTGATTTAAAATTCTCCAGTACTGAAAACATGGAAACCATAAGAGCTGGCATTGGTTTCATGTGGAACTGTGTGTTCTCTCTGCAGTTTTTGAGGAACCTGAAGATCCTAGCAGCAGATCATTTTTTTCAGAAATAATATCCTCGATATCTGATGTGAAATTCAGCCACAGCGGGCGATACATGATGACAAGAGACTACCTGTCTGTCAAGGTGTGGGACCTCAACATGGAGAACAGGCCCGTGGAGACCTACCAGGTACAGCCCCCCGTGTGCTGAGCTGTCCTTGTGTCCCTGTGCCCGTGTGCGTGTCCAACGCGTGTCGCTGTCCCCAGGTGCACGAGTACCTGCGCAGCAAGCTGTGCTCCCTGTACGAGAACGACTGCATCTTTGACAAGTTCGAGTGCTGCTGGAACGGCTCCGACAGGTGAGGGCTGGGGGGCAGGGGCTCAGCCCGGGCAGGGGCTCAGCCCGGGCAGGGGCTCAGCCTGGGCAGGGGCTCAGCCTGGGCAGGGGCTCAGCCTGGGCAGGGGCTCAGCCCGGGCAGGGGCTCAGCCTTGGCAGGGGCTCAGCCCGGGCTGGGGGCTCAGCCCGGGCAGGGGCTCAGCCTTGGCAGGGGCTCAGCCTGGGCAGGGGCTCAGCCTGGGCAGGGGCTCAGCCTGGGCTGGGCCGGGCTGGCTGCTCTGAGCGGGGCGTGCCAACGGCTCCGGGTCACAAATGTGAGGGCACAAATCCCTGCAGTAGGCAGTTCACACCAACAGGATGGCCAGGGCTGTTCCTGCCCCTGTGCCCAGGTGAGCCCCCACCTGCAGAGCCCAGCATAGGAGGGACCTGGAGCTGCTGGAGAGAATCCAGAGGAGGCACCAAATGATGAGAGGATGGAGCAGCTCTGCTGGGAGAGGCTATTCAGGCTCTTCCTGAAAGGCTGGTCACCTGGAGAGAAGAAGCTCCAGGGTGGCCTCACAGTACCTGAAGGAGCCAAGAAACTGGAGAGTATTTACAAGGGCCTGGAGTGCTGGGACACAGGGAATGGCTCCCAGTGCCAGAGGGCAGGGTTGGATGGGATGCTGGGAATTGGGAATTGTTCCCTGGCAGGGTGGGCAGGTGCTGGCACAGGGTGCCCAGAGCAGCTGTGGCTGCCCCTGGATCCCTGGCAGTGCCCAAGGCCAGGCTGGACACTGGGGCTGGAGCACCTGGGACAGGGGAAGGTGTCCCTGCCATGGCAGGGGTGGCACTGGCTGGGATTTAAGGTCTCTTCCAGCCCAGACCAGTCTGACTTCTGTTGACAAGGGACAAAGGGATAGAGGAGCACCAGGAAAACCTGCTTTGCTCACATGCACATAACAAAGTGTCACTGCAGCTGAGTGCCAGTGGCAGGAGGGGACACCAGGGGAACACCTGCTAAAAGAAGTGGTGCACTGGAAGCAGTGCTCAAGTCCCAGAGGAATGGAGCTGGTGTCCACTGGAGAGGACAGGAATGGAATGCCACGGCCTGGTGATGAGCGTGGTCTGACAGTCACAGGTCTGACTGAGAGGAAGGGGTGGATTTTATTTCTAACGAGGTGTGCCTTCCTTTTCCTCGAACCAGTACAATCATGACTGGATCTTACAACAACTTCTTCCGGACGTTTGATCGGAACACGCGCCGGGACACCACCCTGGAGGCCTCCCGGGAGAGCAGCAAGCCTCGTGCCATCCTAAAGCCACGCAAAGTGTGCACAACTGGCAAGAGGAAGAAGGATGAAATTACCGTTGACAGTCTGGACTTCAACAAGAAGATTCTGCACACAGCATGGCACCCCATGGAGAACATCATCGCCGTAGCTGCCACCAATAATTTGTATTTATTCCAGGAAAAGGTTAACTAAGGATGGCTGCCCGCGGACAGAGTCTCGTCTCACATAGTTCAGCTCAGTTGTTTTTCTGTAACAGAAGGCCTTGTTGTCCTGTCAGTGAGGAACATTGATGCACTTACTTCCCTTGAGCTATCGGAGAGCATCTGGCCTGGCTTTGAGTTCCTGGCGTGGTTCTGCCTTCGGTGGGGTGGGAGCATCCACGCGGCTTTCGGGGAGGACCCTCCGAGGCAGAATTGGTGGACAGTGCTCAATGAGGCCAACACTCAAAACAAATGTATTTATTGATGTCTGAGCCTTCCTTTCCAGTTTATAGACCAAAAAGTTTAACACCTGAGAAGAAAAAGTTGTCATAAAAATGTAATTTCTCTCTCTCGCTCTCTCTGCTGTAATATTTGGGCCTTTCAGAACATTTCTCGTGCTTGATGCCTGTCCATTCCTCCTCGGGCCCGGGCCAGGGCCTGACCTGGGAGCAGGGCTTGAGCTGGGGTCTAGGCAGGTGTCCATGGCTATTTACTCACCACCTGTACCTATAACCACACCTTCTGGTGGAAACCACTTAATAAATAACAGCCTATCAAACGTGTTCTTAGAGCTGGAGGGATGTATTCAGTCTACTTTTTGTATTGCATGTCCTGAGCTGGTGCAGAACAGTTCTGGTGGCACCTCTGACAGGGTTTGCCCCAAAACACCAAGTTTTTGGCAGACTAATACAAACTTTTTTGTGTAGTATTTCAGATTCTGAATATAGAGTTTCCATGGCATTGTCATAGAGTTGGAGTTGCACTGGATTTGTTGTCAAAGGCTCTGTGTGTGCCAAGTAGGAGATGGAAAGGGTCCTAGAAACATCCACAGCCTTAACCAAGTGTCGGCCTTGCACGGAGGGAACGAAACATGGACACCTTCTCTGCTCTGGGGATAAGCATGCAGCTTCCTGGTGCATCTCGCCCTCAGGCAGAGACAGACCTGACGTGCGTTATGGTTTTTAACCTTTTTAGTATTTGTCACAAAGGGAACAGTTTATTTTAAGTATTTGGCGTAGAATCTTGCATTTCCCACTGCAGTTCAAGAGCCACTCCGGGCTGGGCTGCCCAGGGAGGCCCCAGCTGGCGGGCCAGCAGCTGCTGGAGCTCTCTTGCTCACTTGTTTTAAGCCTTAGGTACTGTTTCTTTCTTTGTTTTTTTTCTTCCAAAGAGGCCTAAATCACATCCCCTTCCCCCGGATGAGCCCGGGGCCATGTCCAGCAGCCCCCAGCAGCCAGAGGCTGCACTCTGCCAGGTGCCTGCAGCCTGGGAACTCCTTCCCAGAGCCCCAAGCTTTCCCCCAGCCAGCCCCAAGTGGTTACACTCCGTTTTCCCTGGAACAAAGGCGTGTTCCAGTCCCAAGAGCAAACCGTGGCCGTCCCGCCCCTCCCGGTACCGCCCCCGAGCCGCTGGGTCCCAGGAAGGGGGGAAGGACAAAGCCTGAGGTTCTCCCAGGAAAGGCTCAGTCCAGCCGGTCCTGTCCTGTACGTTGGTTGTGACACTTTGGAACTCTGGAGATGTGGAACTGGGGGGTCGCTGAAGCGTTGATCCGACCGCGTTCCCAACGCCTGCTCGAGCCGATCCGTGGGGTTGTACATAATTGTTCAGTTCTTTTGACCAAAAAGTTTAATAAATTTTAAATGTTTACCTGGCCGTGCTCCCTGTGTTTTGCAACGTTTCCTTCTGTGTGGGAGGGAATTGGCTGGATGGGCCAGCCCAGGGGTGTTCCCAGTTGGGATGGTCGGAGTGGCCAGGGCTGCTGCCCCCGCTCCAGGACACGGCAGCACTGGCCGCTTGTGGATCTGTTTTTTCAGCAAATACAAGTGGAATATCCATGAAAAGGATGTGGTGAAATTTCCTCTTCTACAGCCCTGTTTGCTTGTACCACTTTCAATTAGCTTTTGATTATTCTCATGGAATTTTATCTAAATTTTATCTAAAACCAGATTTTAGTGTCCAGTTTGGTAAAACCTTTGCCTAGTGCACCCCGGTCTAGTGAAAGGTTGTGCTTCCCATGGCAGGGGTGGGACTGATGGGCAGAGCTGGGTGGGCTTTCGTGGTCAGGCCGTGAACTGGGGATTGAAGTCCCCAGCAGTGAGGAGTGGGTGAGCATGGAACGCTGCAGCACCTCACTGTGCCCTAGCGCTGCCCCAGGGAGGGGGGAAGGAGCTGGGGGACAATGGCAGTGAAAAAGGGACACCATGGTTTAACCCCTTCCCTTCTCCAGCCAAAGCCCAGTGCTCAGCAGGGACCTGCTGCTCTCAGTCCCACAGGAAATGGAAGTGGCACCAGAGCATTCAGGGGTTCCAATCCCACCTTTGCTCTTGGCTCCGGCCTCGGGAGAGGTTTGGATGGGAGGTAGGAAAATTTCCTTCCTGGAAAGGGCTGCCCAGCCCTGGCATGGCTGGAGTCCCCATCCCTGGGGGGATTTCCCAGCCCTGTGGATGTGGCACTTGGGGACAGGGGCAGTGGTGGCCTTGGCACTGCTGGGAATGGTTGGGCTCCATGGGCTCACAGGGCTTTTCCAGCCTCAGCAATTCCATGGTTTCCAGCTCCTCAGGAGCATCACACCCTGTGTGTGTGGTGAGTGCAGGTTACCCTGCTGAGGTTTGCTTGATGCTGTTTCCATGGAAACTTCTCAATTCCATGTCAGGAAGTGACCAGTGGGAAAGGGGCAGGCAGAGGCCAAGAGCCTCATCAGCCCCCAGAGAAAAAGGAATGAGGAAACTCCGAGTTCACCAGGAACCTTTTTATTTAAATATATAAAACATGGTATTTTGGCAAACATTCATTTTCTCATTAAATAAGGTAAAATCACTGAAGGGAAAGGCATTGCATCAGTAAAAACCAAGGAGAAGCCATCCTGGGTTCATCTGCCCAGGGCTGGGGTCAGGTGCAGATTTATGTGGGACAGGAAAAGCCTGTAAGCGACAGCCTGCGGTAGGTACAGCAGAGAACCTGGAGTAACTGCTGGGGGTTAAATAAATGTCCTGGCAAAAGCAGCTTTTAGTAGGCACTAAATCCAAATTCTACCTCTGAACTAGGACAAACTGATGGAGTTTCACCCACGTGCTCATCTCTTCCCACTGCCTCAACACCGTACACCTTCCACTGAAGTGAACTAAGCAACACCTACCAGAGGAAAAGCTGCCCGGGGCGGTGAGAGCCCCTGGGGATTCCCGGATCCATCTGTAAGGCCACTCCTGTCTGGGCTCATCCCTGCCCGTGGGGGCTGCAGGAGCAGTGACCACATTCCCTCCCTCCACAGGCACAGGAGCGGGCGGGATGGACGCGGCCCAGCACACGGGCTGCTGAAAGCTGGGACTGATTTAAACACGGAGCTGCTCTAATTCTCAGGTACTTCACTACAAAGCACTAAGGGACATTACAGCATCTGCCACGTGCTCATGGGGTTGATCCAGCAGGGATTGATCCAGAAGGCTCTATGTGACACGGGAGCTCCAGCGTCTCCCTTCCCGTGTTTAGACTAAACTAAAACAGGACATGGACAGGACACACACACGACGGCCACGACCAGCTCCCCTTCCTGTGCACCTCCTGCGCTCCAGCTGCGGCTGCTTTGCTCCGGCTCCAGACCCCGGGTGCCTCTAAAAGGTGCTGCTGGAAGCCGTGGTGGTCAGGCGCCTCCCGATGTAAATCCTGCAGGGTCAGAGCACACAGAGCCTGATCAGCCAGGCTGCGTTTCAGTGCTGGCAGTGCTCTCCCGGCCAGGCCCCTGCCCTTCCCGGCAGGAGCAGCACTGCCAGCTGGAACCAAGCAGGAACAGAGCTGCCCCAGAGCCAGCCCCAGTGAGTGCCCCTGGTCTGGTACCCTCCCAGCTCCAGGGCCCAGACCTGCCCCCAGGCCCCTGTGGAGAGGAAACGTCCCCATTCCTCCCAGGAGGGAATTAAAAAGTCTACTGAATAATTTAAAATAGTATTAAATATTTTTAAATCTATGTCAGTGGAACTTTAAAATCTATTCAATATTAGCTTTTTGTTTTGCTGATCTCCTAGTTGTGAGACTGAGTCTCATCTCCAGTAGAGACAAGTGCTGTGTGACTACAGTTCCAGTGTACAGAATTCCTCATTTCCCTGCCTCTTAATTGTTCTGAGAAGTTCCCAGCCAGGGAGAAAATCAGAAAACTTAAACCATCCAGCAATACCACAGGCAGGAAGCACTTCCTGAATAACCATCTTGGACAAAGAGGGAACTGGGAATCAGAATCAGGCCTCAAAGAAAGCAGGTAAAAAAACCTTTTTTTTTCAGTTGAACCTTACCCCAGTCCAATGGCCAGCAGGTGAGAGAGCAGCAGGGATGGGAGGAAAACCTTCAGGAATTCCGCAGAGAATATCCCCCCTTTCTTCATGACACTGGTGTTCCTCATGCTGAGCGTGGCTGTGCGTCGGGGGTGCTTGAAGAGGAATTCCCTGGATTTGGGGAAGGAAAGTGAGGTGTGTGTCCAGCCAGGAGGAGAAGCTGCAGGAGCTCTCCCAGCAGCTGTGGCAGCACTCACTTGGGCGGGATGTTCTCGGGCCGGCTGGACCAGTCCCAGATCCAATCCGCGTTCTTCCTCAGCAGCCGCTCCACCTCCCTCCTCCTCTCCAGGAAATCCTCCTCAGACTGCAAAGAGAGCCACCAGCACTGAGCACGGAGCAGCTGGGAGCTGCCAGAGCTCCTGCCAGAGCCAGGAGCACTGCCCAGGAGCCCTGACACCCCCCTTCCCACCCCCCGGGAGTGTTCACATCCCAGATCAAGAGCGGGAGCAGGGAGAGCCATCCTCAGAGCGGGGTGAGAATGGCAAAGACCATATCCCATATCCCATATCCAATATCCCATATCCAATATCCCATATGTGCCTGAGACAAGACTGCCTGGCAGTGAAATCCAGAGCCCAGCGTTTAATCCTTATGCACAGTCCCAAAATATCCCCAGCTCCCAGCCCTGATGGACACTGGGCACAGGGATTCCTGCCCCATCCCAGCCCTGATGGACACTGGGCACAGGGATTCCTGCCCCATCCCAGCTCCCAGCCCTGATGGACACTGGGCACAGGGATTCCTGCCCCATCCCAGCTCCCAGCCCTGATGGACACTGGGCACAGGGATTCCTGCCCCATCCCAGCTCCCAGCCCTGATGGACACTGGGCACAGGGATTCCTGGCCATGCTCAGAGCTGGCAGATGTCACTGGCAGTCCTTGCCCAGTCCCTGGGCCATGCTGGCAGGCAGGTGAGCCTGGCCAGGTGTGTGCTCACAGCAGCCCCCCAGCCCAGCTCTGGTGCAGCTGCAGCACAAACGCTGAGTCAGGGCAGAGCTCCTGGCTCAGCTCGGCTCCATTCCACACAGCCCAGGCCTTGGGATAAAAATAGATCCTGCTCCCAGAATTCCAACAGCTCTTGATGCACACACACACGGGATGGAAATAAAACTGCCCAGGCAGCTGGAATGCTGATGGCTTTCTGACTTGGGGTTATTTGTTCTCAAAGTCTAAATAATGATCTTTAAACAGCTGAAGGGTGTTTCTGACAATACAAAAGAATAATTTCCAGTAATAATTAACTTGCAGTACCACATTTAGCTAACCTAAAGCTGGGTCCTCAGTCTGGCAGAAGCTGTAGAAATGATGCAGAAAAATTCACTTCCTTGAAATACTTCCTTCCTCAAAATGCTTTGTGAGTCATTTTTTTCATATTAAAAGCTAATTTATTACACTGAAGACTTCAGATTTCAGCCTGTCATCCTGTAATAAGCCCTGTATTGATTCAATATGGTCAATGTACATCCTTTCCCCCACTCTTGTTGCAAATGTGTTTATTCATTCTCCTTGCAAGGTAAACAAAGCAAAATCAGAAAGAACAGGGAGTTTTCCAAAGCAGCACATATTCAGGTTTGTATTAATTGTTAAAATACCTTGAATCAAAGCTATGGCAGGGCTTGGGAATTGTGTACTTTTGGCTGCCATATTTAAGTGACTCTATAAATTCTTGCTGCTGTCAAAATATCTTTTAGAATTCCTACTGAATTGGTGGAGGTGCATTTCAACATTGGTGGGGGATGCAGGAAATGCACCCCGTCAGCAGCCACAGGGAAAGGGCAAACCCTTCTGAAAAATCTCAGTCACAGACTGGAAAGGCCAAACCAAAACATCCCCACGTGTCAGGAACAAACACAGGCAGTCTGGATCTGCCAGGGTTGTGAATTTGTGAATGTGTGAGTTGTGGAAGTCTCTGCTTCAGCAGCCTCCACTGCTCCTGCCCCAAGCACAGGGAGTCAGAGCTCCCCTCTCCCAGCACGGTGAGCACCTTACCTGGAAGCTGTTCTTCTCCCCACTGCTGTGGCTCTCTATCTCCAGAGCTCTGTGGCTGTCCTGGGGGGTCTGGGAGCGAGGAGGGCTGCACCAGGGACAGAAGCACCAGGAAAGAGGAGGTGAGGTGTTGTGTGACACCCTGGGAGCTGGGCACTCTGCGGCCCAGGGGCTGCACGGGCACTGCTGCCACAGCCCAGCCACCCCAGGCACTGCTCTGATCCCCACCCCTGCCCACGCTGGGGGGCCCTGGCTTGCACAGAAACAACGGGCAGCACACGAGGAGTGGCAGTGGGCTGTGCTGTGAATCCCCAGCAGCCAGGCAGGTCCCGCTGTGGAGTC